ACCAGCCTTGCCAGATGGATTGGATACGAACCTCAAACTGCAGCAAAGATCCAACTCCAAGAGACGCCAAAGGGGTCACCTTCTGACCCATTCCCCAGAGCCACCAGGGACAAAACAGAGACACCCAACGCTAGGAAAGATGTATTCTTGAGGCATGTTTTGTTTAGAGTGAAAAGTTTCATTTATTGAACTCCATCTCAGAATTGCCTCAATCCATGGGAGAACCATTGGGGTTGGGGAGGAGGGGACTTGTTCTAAGGGCAGCAGTGACAAAAGTGGAGACCCCAGTTTTGTTGGGTCCTCTTCCTTCTTGCACACTTAAAGCTGAGCAAGCCCTTGTCCCCTCACACCTCAGCACCTAAAGAGGTTTCCTTCACTCCCCTCACCGTGATTCAGATTAAAATATTTCTCTCTCAGAACTGGAGATAGAAGACTCAGGCATTTCCACTGAGCACAAGAACGGTCAACCGCAAGTCACCTTTCAGCAGAAAGGGTGGTTGGACAGACACTGAAGACTGAACTGGACAGAGCTCTCAGGGCACAGGTTGGGGGGATAGGAAGGGTGATCAAGGCAGAGAACCTGAGTGCAAAAGCACAAGTGTGACCCAGCACGGTGCACTTCAGGAAGCTGATGGTATTTGTGTAACTAGTGTTGTTCTCTTTTCACTGTAGGTCTTGGAGAGTCTGTGAAATACTTCTGAATTCCATCTCATAACAAATGCTATAAAATAACCCTTAAAAATGGTTACATTTCTCTGATCATGAGCATTAGTGCCTAAACATCACCATTTAAACAAAAAGGAATGCATATATTTAGCAAAGACTCTTAAACTCATATTTAAAAAGACATACAAGGGCTGATTAAAATATATGGTGAATGTTTAACTTTTTATTACAGTTAAGAGACGCGCTGCCACTGCTCATCCCTAAAATACTCTCCTTCGCTTCTAACTCGCTTGCCCGATCATTCTTGCCACTCCCTGAAGCAGTTCTGGAAACCCTTTCATGTGTTAACAAGACGTGAACAAAAATATGGTGAATGCTCCTGCCAAGTGCCATCCAGCAGAAAGGCAGGCTTGTAAAAATATTACACCTTGTCCTCATGTGGATGCATATAGCACCTTGTGCCTCCCAGCTCTTCCCCAAAGTCAATCAAGATGACTGGAAAGGTAAACAGTTTGAATCAGTGTCGGACGTCAGGGCAGATATCGACAGTGCATCTGAAGACACTCATGAAAGAGGACTTCCAGAGCTGCTTCAGAAAGCGGCGAGCAAGATGGGTTAAGTGTGTTCTAAGGGGGGGCCTTTGGAGGGGAGTCAGTGGCAATATGCCTTTTGCTATAATTAGTGTTTTAAAGTACAAATGTTCCCCATATTTCCCAGTCACATCTCATAGCATGGGGATCAAAAAATGCTTTGTGGAAGAGAAGACAATTGAGCAGAACTATGAAAAATGAGGGGGCGTTATCCCTGGGGTGGAAGGTGTCAGGAAGAGCATATAGGAGTATCCGGAGGTAAGGAGGAGCCTGGTGAATTGAAGGCAGAGCACTAGGAAGAGACAGGAAGATGCTTGGGGATGGAGAGGGCAGCAGGGTTGCTAATGCAATCTCTTCGAGAGCTGGAGAAAATTGGGGCTTTATTCTAGGCAGTAGGAAGCCATGAAAGTTTTAAGTAGGGAAGCCGTATATCTACATTTATAATTTTAAAAGATCACTTAAACTGTGAGATGGAGAAAGGACTGGAAGGAAGAAGAGGGATTTGTTAGATTACAGATGCCCTTCATCTTACAGTGAGGTTGTGTCTTCATAAATCCATGAGGAATTGAAAATATCCTATGTCCAGAATGCTGAATACACCTAATTTAGCCAGCGGCATCACTGAGACCTTGGCGCCCAGTTAGTCATCCTCCTGGTCACTTGGTTGGGTGGAGGCTGAGGCCTGCTCTGTCTCAGGAAGGGGAGAGAGTTTTCATGGGCCATCGCCAGCCTGGGAACAGGTTCACACTCAAAATCTATAGTGCGCTTTCTACCTCACGTGCATCAATTCCATCCCATTGCAAAGTTGAAAACTCATAAATCAAAAGTCAGGGACCACCTGTGTGTATATCAACCTATAGGAGAGGATTTAGACTGGGATACAGAGACGAGAGAGATCTGAGAATTACCAGAGAGGCAAAAATACTCAGGAACTGGTCAGAGACTGGATACACCTGGCGTCAAAGTTCCCCTTTGTTTACATACATATATACATACACACACACACACACACACACACACACACATATAGTAATAAAACAAATGTTTTTACACATTCTCATATTTGTTTTTGTTTTTCAGTGTATATTTGAAACACTTACTTGATGCAACTCCAAAGAGAAAAGATAAATGATAGTAAATGTCAGAAAATATTTTCAAATCATTGTAATGACATATGGCCTAGAATGCTGGATTCTACAACAAAGCATTTTGACTTCTGTCCCATTCATTTGGATAACGCTATACTATTTGGAAAATTGAAATGTGTTTTGAAAATATGACAGGCTTTATCTGGGTGTGGTGGCATATTCCTGAGATCTCAGCACTCTGGGAGGCTGAGGTAGGAGGCTCACGAGTTTAAGCCAGTCTGGGCAATTGAATGACTTAGTGAGACCTGATCCCAAAATTTGAAAAGAGTTTTTAAAGAGCTTGGACACAGCTCAGGGCTAAGTCCTGGGGTTTAATCCTCTTAACTGGGGTGGGGATGACGCTTTTGCCTGTGCCCTTGTGCCCCTGGTAGAGGCAGGGTAAAATAAAACAAAATAAAATGTTTAGGATTTGAAAGAAACAAAATTAATGCAATTCTTTTTCTTTAAATACAAGTTCTGCACTCTATCTCTAGAAATTAATTGCTTAGGAATAATAGCTTGTTTTCCGCCATAATAATTTCAGTTATTCTTTTTACACTTAAACGGAGCTGCACAGAGCAGATTAAAGACAGACACATATTTATAATGCACTCCTCTTCCCCGAAGCGCATGCCTGATTTGTCTTTCTGTGCTACCACTGTGCTGAATGCAATTCCTACTGATGGAGTATCTTCCACTATGCTCTAGAATCTTTGGCTTTTTAAACTAGATTTTTATGTACTTCCCTTCCCTCACTCCATAAAGAGCAAAGAGACAAGAGATATGGACCATGGCACAGAAAAAAGGAAGATGCTAAATCAAAGCAGAAAGACTCAGAGCTCAGGATAACCTCATAGAAATTCCAGTGTCTTGATTCAATATCTCTTAGTTTAGGAGAAACTAAAACAATGGCATGTGATCCTGTGGACTCTTCTCATTTCCCCAAAATTCCCTCTTACACATAAAAGACAAAGCCTTTGAGAATTTACCGGTATAATTTATTTAAATTACTTGTGGATTCTACCTCAATTGCTGCTCTTTCTTAACTCTCCAAGATGTTCTAAAAAGTGAGCATTGTCAAAGGAAAAAAAAAAAAAAAGATTACTTGACCAAGGAATCATGCATATTGGGCAAAGCATGTTTGTGATGATTAAAAGATACAAAGTACTTGATTTAAGGGATTGGAAAATAAATCACAAGAACAAAATGATTTTGAAAAGATTTATGTATATATTATTAGAAAATATACAGAATTTTGAATTCCAGTGACTGAGGATGTTTGCCTAGCAGTAAAGCATGTGCTTAGCATGTGTAGGGCTGTCGGTTCATCCCCAGGAAACTGCCCCCCACATCCTGGCAGCGTTTAAAAAATATTCAGTGTTGCAACTGTAGAAACTATATGAAAAGTTTTTGATGAACTCTTCCAGGCAATCTTCTTGCCTCAGCCTGCTGAGTGCCTGGATTACAGGCATGTGCTACCACCCCTGGCTTTACATAGCTTTTTGTATGTGTGTGGTATCAGGGATTGAACTTGGGACCTTGCCCTTGTGAGGCAGGCTACGGAACCACTGAGCTAAATCCCCAGCCCTTAAATGGATTTTTAGCACATAATATTGGATCTTCCTTTAACACAAGAATGCTCTGTATATTTTATTTTTTGAACATCATCTATTTAAAGTTATTCCAAATATTAAAGAACCTAATTCAATCATTCCCCACTGATTAAAATACTCTAATTTTTATTTTTACAAGTTTATGTGCTTTTAAAGTGAGTTCAAGCAAGTACCACAGAAAAATACTGTCTTTTGAAAATTATATTTAGGCTTTCCAAGTGTAAAAAATATTAAGATACTAATAGTTTCTGCAGCCTTTTATATAAGAAATAGGAATATACATACATTATTAAAGTTATCCATATTGATGTCATGATTTTGATCTTTGTTTAATTGTAAAAGCAAAATTCACATGTAAAATAAATAGCTGGTTTCAACCACGGGACACCCTCGATTTTAAGAAAAAGAAATAAGCTAAAGAATTTTAATTTAAGCCAGGAGATTCCATCTTTGATTATTCCTAATTAAGGTTTCATTTTCCTACCAAGAATAGTGTAATAGACTTTCTTTGAATAGGATTTCCTAGTTTTACAAGCATCACTGAGTAAAAAAATTAATAGTTGTCCCGGAATACCTGCATTCTGGGAAGTTGAGGCAGGAGAATTGCAAATTTGAGTCCTGCCAGTTTCTGTCACAAAATAAAAAATTAAAAGGGGCTTGGGGTGTAGCTTAGTGCAAAGGCCCTGGTTCAATCCCCAGTGTCACAAAATTAAAAATAAAATAAAATTGACAGTTATAATAGGGTTTTTAAAACAGTAATTGTCATCTTTTGTCCATAGCCAAAAGCTGTAGCTGTAGCAGAGGGGAATTGTTTTAACTCACTCATACCCGAAAGCTTCCCAGATTCCATTAAAATCAGTAGTGCCCCGTTCTAAGTGCACAGCATGACAGCAGATTTCTAAAACCTCATCTCTGCGACCTTACGTTGTCTAACCGCGTTTACTCGCTCCCAAGAGAATTTCTTGGCCCCCGCTGAGCTGCCTCGCCTCTCCTTCCCTCCCTAGCGCCGCTGCGGAGGCCGACGCCATCGAGCCCCTGATTAGCACGCTGTCCAGTAAGCGCGACGGCGCCGTGGCCAACGCGGCCACCGTACTGACGAACATGGCTATGCAGGAGCCGCTGCGCGGGGCCATGCAGAGCCACGACGTCCTGCAGGCCCTCATCGGCCCGCTGGGCTCTGCCAATGCCGTGGTGCAGAGCAAGGCCGCCCTCGCCGTTGCGGCCACCGCCTGTGATGCAGAGGCTCGCGCAGAGGTGAGCACTTCCCTTGTCAGGACCGCCTT